AACTCAAAAACTGGACAGAGTCCAGTATTATCTCCATTTCATTTGTATTCAAGGTAAAACTGCTTATTTTCTAGGCCTAACAAAAAACCTGATCAAGCAGTGTATTGAAAATATCAAACGTACTTACTCGGACTGTGTACATACAGAAATGCACAGCAGCTTCAAATAATAAACTTTTATGGTTCATACATACTATGAAATAAAAGTAATGTGTTTAAGTAGCCAATTTACCTAGCACGAGATCTCTCCATGTAAATTAGTAAATGGTAGCAGTATGAACATACTTATATTCTACAGTAAACATGTGATATTTAATAGCTATGCCCCATCAGTTTTTTCATAATTCATATCTACAAGCATGTGCAGAAACTTGATTAGTAACTTTTGTTTGAGATATAAAACCAGGGTGATGCTTCAGAGCAAGATATTTTTGAGTGATTAGCTTTTGGGGTCAGTTCATCTACAGATTGCAATGCATAGTGTATTGATATAAAGAACAACTTATAGATATATCTAGCTTCTCTGTCAGTCTTTCATTGCTGTAATTAAATGACTGACTGAATGGTTTATTTATTTACACCTTGTAGTACCTTAGTGATCTTTTAAAATTTTTTACAAGGAATATTAAATACTCTGTACTAAAATAGTTCAAAAGTTTGCATTACACAAACTAGAATGTTACAAATAAATACATCATCCTTTTAAAAAATTACAGTGTAAGTGTATGATTTGTCTTATTTTGTTTTAATCTAGTTTTTTTCATGAATGGCTGAAAGAGATTGCTGTAAAACTGTAAACTAGCACATTGTGATACAGAGGTTTATTAACTCAAGTACATGTAGGGCACAAACTCATTTTAAAATGATAAAGCTATGTGTCAGTTCTATAGTTCAACTCTATAATAAAATTTTAACTGCTGTATAGAGCATGATTAACATCACACATGAAGTCATTTTATGTTATGTCCTGATTAAAATATACATATTTCTGCACACATCAGTACACACAAAGTTGAAGTTATGTATATTCATTTTGACATTCTATCTAAAAATGGGCAATAATCCAATGAAATAAACACACTGGTTTGTTGCTTTATTGAGCTGTTTCACAGATGTGAAGAATGAAACACAAATAAAGAACATAATTTTGGAACAAGAAAAAATAATTATGGTTTTATGTATTAAATTTAAAATGATTGTCCTCAAGTTTGCTTAACACCTACTGTGTGAGTGCTTAAAGTGTTTTACTTGTTAATTAATGATTTTATTGGCCAAATGGAATCACATGTAGTGTAAAAATCAAAATGAACAGTGCCATGACAACAGTAAATTGATCAACAACTATTTATAAGCATATTGAAACTTTATGTACAGAACATAATACTACCCATTTAAACAGAATATTTGTTTGTCTTTCATTATGCTTATAAGTTATTGTTGGTTAATTTACTATTGTATTAGTTTAACGTATTTCTGTACAGAAGAAATTTCATGATATTAAGTCAGTCCTGATATGTAATACATTTTGGATATTTTAAATGTAACTTTGAGAAATATTTTTATCATTCACACACTTTATCAGGCTTCAATGTACCATTAAATAAGCCTAAATAACTATATAATGAAACCCCACAATCAGCATGTTTTATTTTACAATTTGTTAATCAGGTATGTAGTAAATCATAGAATTTTGTCTCTAAGAAAAATTGTGTTTGTGATATAACAGTTATCTAAATGTAGTTTATAGATGAACATATTTTTATTCCATACATTTTCCATATATCATAGCGATCTGAGACACCATTATAAAGTTTTAATTCAAGATGATTCTAGAATAATGTATCAGTTATCTCACAGGTATTTAACAATCTCTGCAATTACAGAAAAATACGAGTGTGCGGCTGGAAGCGTATAACATTAGTCTTTAGATAACACAGATTTTCCTCACCGATTAAACAGTTAGTTATTACATCCCTTTCAGAATCTAAAATATCAAAATTATCTATTGAAAGTAATAAATCATTAAAAATATAAAAACTGAAAGATACAAAGATGTTAAAACTTGTATAGCCAATTCTCTTATTTTATATTTTGAATAATGGCACTAAGCTCAGAAATGATGTATTTAGCATAGAGAAAGAGTATAAGTCGGTCTAAAGTAACATATCACGGACTCTTCAAATCAAGAAACTCTTACTTATCAGCATGTATACATATGACAAGGACTCGTAGCAGTCATTGCATATTCATAATCCCTCCTAAGATAAACAAATGATGGGAAGCGTTCAACATTATTCTTCCAAAAGAAAAGTTTTCACCACTAAACCAGAAAAATATATAAACGAAAATGTTTATGTCATCCAGCCAAAGTCTCTATGCTGGCTTACAATGTGTCAACATTCAATCTGAAAACCACCTAAAGTCTATACACGTATTAAGTAAGCCCCTATAAAATGTAGCCATTTATCTATAAACAATAAATAAAGATCCACAGTTGGAAAGTGACGCACAAAACTTTGAGTCACAAGTGTTATAATATACAGAGTAAGACCTATTTAAATATATACAAGAAATATTTAACGGGGTAATGAACAACTTACCTGATGCAATAAAATGAGAACCAGCTATGTTTATTTACACACAAAAATCATAAAATGGGTTATTAGATGAAAGGAAGGGTCTTTATATGAACTTACTGGTTAACCCAACATAATTCCATGATGAAATTACCACCAAATAATGTCAGAAAATATGAAACTAAATTTGAAAAAAATTACACTACAACTAATTTTGTTCTGTAAGTACATGATACACAAAATGTGATTCAGCACTATGAAAGTAAACAAACTTAAAGGAATGTTTATTTTTTCTTACAAAAATATTTTTAGTTCTTTTCTTACTTGATATATTTATCAAAGTTTATCTTACAAAGTGGTTTGTACAAATGTGAAGGGTTATTTGATTTTATCAGGTTTTTTATGTCTTTTCAGCTATTATAAAACAGCTTCATTTGACGAATTTCAAAAACAGTATTATAAGCCTACAGCAGAAACAAGATAATGCAATTATCGTAACCATACTATTTTTCACACTTTTTTCTGAAGCTAGTGCAACATCAACATAGATTTACTTTTACGCAAAGCATTTGCTGAAATGGGATTTGTTAAAAAGATTGTTTCTCAAACCCTGAACTATTAAGAAAGGGTGAAATTGTCTAAATAACATCACTGCTTATTAGAGCCAACTCTTAAAGGATGTGTGATTTATAACAATAAGCTGAAGATAAGATCATCATAAAATGGATATATCTTCAACATATTTCAGTCACTTTTTGAAAGAATTAATGTTTCACAAAAACAATATCAATTTCTGTAAAATATATCATTACTTTAATTACCTAATTAAATATGTATGCATTCTGATTTTTTGATACAATTATACATATAGTTAATAATTACAAGCACTTACTACATGCATTCAGTCTCTTTGTCACACAATCCCTAAACTGTGACTCTTGGTATGTCAGGTACAAAGTCTTAAATAAAGGTGAACTACAAGTTATTCTTTACTATAGAGCAGTTGTCAAAATATTAATGAAAACCATTTTAAAGATGGCCTGTTTCATGAACTTATTGCTTGGTCTAATGTAACGTCAGAAAAATACAGTTACAAAAATATTTTACTAATGTAACCTTAGAAAACCGAACACCTTTAAAAGCAACAGTACTGGGTGAAAACAATACTGACTAATCAATATTCACATAATTTCACTTAATATTCACTCATTTTCTAAAAATGAGCATGATTACATCAACAATTCACTTTACAGTTAAACTTAAGTCTACATACAACCATCTTCACCTTGAGTTTTGAGCGTACAGATGTAAATCTTCGCTTAAATTATTGAACTAGAAGATAGTTTTTTATTCATTTCAAAGTAAATTGTTTAACTATCAATCTACCTTATGAACTTTAATCAAAAATAAATTCTGATACATCCTTAAGTAATAAATTTTTCATTGACTTGTCAAAACATACCTGAAATGAGCTTTATCAGTAATATAAGAAAAATAGCTTATGTATCATGCAACAGACAATGATTTATAAGCTAAAGTTGTTGAGATTAAAGAAAGGATAATAACTGTTTAAATTCTTTTTACAAATTAAATAGAATGGATATTGTTAGTCAAATTATGCAACTGGAGAAAAGATAAAGAACAATTTTTTTTCCACTATAATTTTTAGAATAACTTTAAACTAAAACAGGACAATTGATTTTTGCTTTAAAAATTCAAAAATTATCAGTTTAAAAGTGAAGTTAACTTTTTGTCCATTAAGATATTAATGATTAAAAAGTTAAGAAAATGCTTAAAGGCAAATTTCCTTCACCTTAAGGTTTGTAAGCTTATCTAACACAAATGCAAACAGCACACTCGGTGTCTTGCTTCCAATACTGGGCATCTATTTACTATGCAAGGATATGAGAGCATAAACCTAACAACAGTAAAAGAAATTCTTATCTCTGGATGATTTTCATGCATGAATATTGCTTGCAGAATTTCAGTAAATATGGGACTGACTGTGATGCAGAATATATTTTGAGCAAAAATAATCATAAAGAAAACATAAAACTGGTTTCATTACATTAATTTTTCAGTTAAAAATTATGCCAAACAAGTTTTCTTTTGTATAATTTTATAAAAAATAAAGACAAAAGTTTTTTATTGAAAAACATACAGAAAAACAAATTAACTCATTATAGATTGAAGTGTTTATAGTTACTGTCTACACTCTTAAGGTATGTAGATATCCAAGTAAATGGTAAGACACTTGACTCAAAAAATGCCTTTTAGTAGTTTTTCCAGTATCATGATACAAAAGTCCACTTTAAATACAATTGTATATTACTATTAGTAGTATTATTAGTCTGAACTAACTACGAGTCTGTAGTGTTATTCATTAACATTGATAAATCATACACTAATTGACTAAGTTACTTACTCTGTTGCTCTCCAGGGCTTCTGCTGTATGAGCTTCTTTCGTTTTGAAACAATGTTGACATTTTGATTTGTTGAAAATGTTTGGTGCAAACTTCTTGCAATCAGCTTTCAGTGTCATCATATCTTCATGAACTGGCGTCTAATCTTTTGTGGAGCTTCCTTCCTTGAAATATCATTGTGACATTTATATTGTTTGATAGCAATAACATTAGATTATAAAGTGTAAATATAGCTTTATAAAGTACAACCAGTTACAACTTTATAAAACGCATAATTTAATAAAAATGTTGTTTAAAGAAGCCTAGGCCTACTTCTACCTGAAACATGACCATCCTTCTGTATCCCTCTCTCATCAGCATGCCGCAGTTAAGTCCGACTTCTCTATACACAGTTCCCGGCGGTCTAGTTCTTGTTTAACGGCCCGCAGTTAACTTACTCAAAATAAAAAAATGGACAAAAGCTCGGTATAATTCTGATGATGATAACTTTATAAATAAACAGACTTACAGTGACATTAAAAACAGAACTTCTGTATGGTTAACTGATAAACGTTCAACCCATTTCTTAATATTTTAAACATGCACTTTTCCCAAATCATCCAACAGCTCCCGACGTTGATTAGAACTAAGCTTAGTTGTGCCAAACCAGGTAAACCCGTCTTTCACGGCACCTCTCACAGACTTGTTTCCACCATTTCCCACTAGAGGTCCACATTACAGCCAAATCTACCGTACTAGACGTCATTTGGCTGAACAAAAATAAATAAGCTTTAAATATATGTTATTAACCATTTAAAGTTTTAAAAATAAAAACAAAGAGAATTAAGTATTATAAATTAGCTTAAGAAAACGGAATGTAGATTTCAATGTAAGGAAAATGTAGTTCTGGTAGGGCATCATTTCTTAATTTCATACATTGTCAAGCACAGAAAAATACATCAATTAAAACTTATAATGCTTCAAATCGTATATTACCATGTTGTTCTTCTGTCTTGACATTGGTACCTTTACATGAAAGTATACATACCATTTTAATCACTTGTTTGATAAATTGCAGTGAGTATATCGTTAATTAGTTTAATGCTTGTTAACTGCATATTGACTTGTAAGATCAAGAGAAAATGTAATAAATTAATAAACACGACAATGTTATGTTATAGAAATAACGAGAGGGGAATGAATGGCTCGATTAGACTTTTAAGGATGATTCTAAACAAAGCTTATCTTGGAATTGCTAAATTAGTGTAATTGAGAAAACGTCTTGCAGTGTATTTTTATTGAATTGACTTCAAAGCAACTTACTGTATAAAATTGTTAAATACTCTGTATTGTGATTTAACAGTTCTCTATTTGCGGTGGCCCTGAGGTAAAACTCTGGATTTTCCGATCTAGCAAACCTGGTTCAAATCCAAACTATACAACAAAATATCCACTGCACTTTATGAGAGTGAAATTTAATCTCTTAGCGTGAATACAGGGTGGTAGGGTGTTGCTGATTGGCTACCACTCCTTTAGTCAGTAATTAAAAATTACGGAAGGCGGCAGACAGCCTTAGTAACTTTGCCATAAATACAACCGCTTATTTGGTTTAATGTTAGATTAACTGAATTAGTGATTCAGAGTACCCAATTAATAAAGTGTTTAACTGAAAAAGATCAGCGAGAAAGTTTTTAGGCCTGGATATTTTCGAATTATTAACATCTATATACAAACTATCATTCACAGTTGCAAGTTTGACAAAAGTACATTCCATCTACTTATTTTTTTTACGAAGAAAAGCTTCAAAATTACTTATAAAAAAAAACATTTATATGATTCAGAATCGGAAATTTATATTATATTAGGATTTATATGGTTGATGTTTTCAATCTTATTTTTGTAATCACGACCTTCTGACACTTGCTAGCCAGAAATGGATACCCGAAAACTTATTACAGCATAATGTGCTTTACCGTTATGTAACTTAGAAGACAAAAGACTTGCTGCTCAATAATGGGCCGGACGTGTGCTAGGACTATGAATCTGAGGACTCATGGTTTGCGGCCAGTTGCCGCAAAAACGAACTCCGCCGTGGGCGTTAAATAAGAGAGATGTTCAAATCTCACTATGCAATTAAGCTAGCCCAAGAGTTGGCGGTAGGTGCTGTTGATCAGCTGCCTCCCCTCTAGTTAATCAGCTCCAAATTAGGAACGGTTATACACAGATATCCCTTGTGTAGCTTTCCACGAAAATTCTGAAACAAACAAACGCCACCCAATGAAAGTCAGTTTTGACCCATGCCCCCAACATTATCCCATTTATTTTGTTTACTACATAAGCTACAAGATACAGCAACTTTAAAGAAAGTTTCCGAATAAGCTTATTACAGTGTCAAACAGAGAAAAACTTCAAATGTAAGTCACACATTCCTTGTGGTCACAAAACATGCTCACCCTTTCAGCCGTGAAGACGTTATAATGTGGCGGTCAATCCCACCATTTGTTGGTAAAAAGCAGCCCAAGAGTTGGCGGTGGATGTTGATGACTAGCTGCCTTCCTTCTAGTTTTTCCCTGTTAAACTAGGGTTGGCTAGCGCAGATAGCCCTCGTGTACCTTTGCGCGAAATTTAAAACAAACCAAACCTTGTGGTCGAGTGTAATTAACATAAAAAAAAGAGTGAGAGAAGTATAATGGTGACTGCTAGGTGTATTCGATTATTCTCTCGATGAAGTATTTGTAAGCATGCGCAAACAGGACTTATGTGGTCGAAAACTTGATAATAAAATCCATAAAATGTTTTCGTTTATTTAACATGAGCAGTTAGTCTGGCTCTCTCTAGAAAACAGAATCAGAAGATATGCTGATTGTTGTCTTCTGGAACAGTTGCTTCGTTTTCATAAAGCCATCTTTTCTTACAACTTAATAAATAAAGAAATAATTTAAATGGTGTTAGTTAATCGAAATAACATCCAATCTGTTTACAGAGAGCACACTCTTATATTAGTTTTATCAGTTGGTTGTTAAAAACAAACAAAAGACTGTGCTATTTGGTATTGGTTTTATGATATTAAAAATTGGGTTTCGATTCCCGTCGTGGGCACAGCACAAATAGTTCATTATGAAGCTTTGTTGTGAACAACAAACAAGCAAAACATCTTTAGCGGACATGGGCTAAACTGTCAGAATAAATATATCTAAGGTTAAAGTATAACATTCCCTAATTTTGAACCGGTACGGATTCTTTTTTCATTTTGAACATCAAGCAAAGTACGGGTAATTAGATCCATAATTGTTTCTATTTCTTGGCAGTTCAATTTGAATAATGCATGAAGATGTATCATTGAGTTACAGAAAACTCGATACACGTGAAGTCATATCCTGGCAAAGGAGAGCACCTGTTAAGAAGAATTTCACCACTGTTCCGAACTATTGATCACTGGGAGAACAACACTCATCGCTACAAAAGCTTTGTCCGGCCCTTTTTACTAAATAGTGGGATTAACCGTCACTATGAAAGTTTAGAATGTGTTAGCGGCATTTGCTTCGAATCTTGAACTTTCCTATACGTAGCCTACTGCACTTGTTGCTTGACTAAGCTCGGCTTAAAAAGCTACATGACAAACATGAGTTTTGTGTTACTGAATTGTTGCTTTCTGTTAAAAGAAACAATGGAAGATTTCGGATAATATAACCCAACAAGAAATTCACGGATAACATTTTGTTTTATGCTACAATATTCATATGTCTTGCATCGTCAAAATCACGCGCTTCATAATTTGTTACCGATG